TAAGCTGATATTTCTCAATTAAAAATTTATTTTTGATTTAAGGATATTTTAAAAAATTAGACTTATCTGGTAATGATGAGTTCAATATCAAAAATTATCACATGAATTTATGGGTATTTTATTAATAAACGAATATTTAAATTTTATATATTGAAACAATATAAAGAATATTTGCGCTTTTTTATGTAAACCATTATATAATTAATAAGTTACATTATAATACTGCCATATACATATTTAAAAAATAAATTTTTATTGAATATCAACTTCCCAACAATTTAGAGATATGCAATGTTTGAGTGTTGTGGACGACATTTTATTTCTCTTTTTGGTTACACATTCCACTGCCTTAAAATACATATAAATTATTCAAATATGATGTTTTACAAAAAAGAGTTATATATAATAGATGGCGCTAAATATTGTATAGATTATTATTACAATTTAACATCACATATATTCTTCAGAATTTGATAATATTAGGTAAACCTAATTAAGAACCAAAATAATATAAGTATGATGAACGTCCAATAATTATAATATAAAGAGAATATTACATAATTTAATAACACAAAAAATTTTGACTATGAATAATAATAAATTTATATATTATAATATAATTCACTAAATTAAAAAAATCAATAATGAATATATATGGCCACTTCCAAACACGACGTTTTTTCAAAGCGATAAATAACAAATTAAGCTTAATAGATGTGTGCTTCCAAACCAAACGATTTTTTCATGCATACGATTTTGCGATTATTTTAATAACAAACTAGCTTGAATTTTTTTAACGATTAAATGGCGTCTGATACAATTGAAATGAATAAGTAATTTTTTTATTCAATAAATTAAATGATTTTAGAGGAAATTTTCTATCTGAATTGATAAATTTTGTAGAAGATCATGACGATTTATGGAACCAATCTAATGATAATTATTCTAATAGATTATTAGTAGATGAACTATGGACTTTATGTGCTAAAAAGTAGAACAAGACTTTATATTGAAAATATTGACTATTTTATAATAATAATTTTTAATTAACAGACTTTTTAATTATGAATTTTAATAATTTATATCTTTATTTAAATAAAATTATTTTTTATCCTTTATTATTTACCAGGCTTGATTCATCCCCAAATGTCTGTAAATTAAAATGGAAGAATTTGAGGGATTCTTATTTAAAGAAAAAGAGAAAGAGAGAAGAAGTGCATTCAGGGGATGCTGCAAAAGCTAGCACTCCAAGGAAATGCTATGATTCACTATCATTTCTTACTACTTCCACCACACCAAGAAAGACACTAAATAATATCACAGATAATATAGAGAATGTAAGACCTGTAAAAAGGGCTAGAGTAACAAAAGACCCAATGGAAAGATATTTTGACAAAATGTTAGAAATTGATAATGACCCAGATAGATTATGGTGCCTGTCTTTGGTTGATAATGTAAAGAAGGTGCCAAATGAAGTTAAGGACGCCATGAAAATTAATGTGCAAACTCTTATTTATAATTATATAACTAATATTATAGTAGAAAATGTTGATGTTTAAATAGTTATGTATTATTTTATAAGTTTAAATTAAAATAAATGATTTATATACACATACATAAGTGATTTATATACACATACAAAAGTAATTTATTAATTTATATACACATACAAAAGTAATTTATTTATTTAATATATAATGATAAAATGTTAAATTAAACATATATTTAAGAATTAAAATAGTCTTTAAATAATTCTCTAATTTCTCTTGAATTAGAACTTGAAGCATTTAAAGATCTACTGATCCCTAAATTTTCAGTAATAGGTAAAATATTAGGTGTATATTCTATTTTATCATAATCAATAATAATATTAAGTAAAAGAGTAATTGTATATATAATTTTATCAGCATTTTCAACTGAACACTCTATAGCTTTAGAAAGTAGGGCAAATTTAGCAGTAGGTATGCCAAATGTGCATTCAATGCACATTCTAGCACTACTTAATTTATAATTATAATATTTTTCTTCTGGGCTGGTATTCTTCGTAGGATAAGGTTCCATAATGTCTCATAATAAAATATCTAGTTATAAGATTCATTTTTAAAAAATCAGCTGTAAAATATAAATCGTTGCTGTGGAAGTATAAAATATTGCGAAAAACGTTTTGAAAAAACGTCGTGTTTGGAAGTGGCCTATCGCGAAAAATATAATAATCTTATAAATTTTTACAATAATGAATACAATTAATATATATGTTGTATTTCTTAATAATATATTTATATTATTATATTCCAACATGAATAATAAATATTCAAAAAAATACATAATTAGTAAATGATTACGAAAAAAAATTTATAATAACAAAAGGACAATATTAAGGCATAGATCATAAAATAATGTAAAATACAAAAAAAATAAATGAAAAGCGAAACCAGCAAATATTCTTCAAAACCTCTTTCATTTCATCATCAGGAGAAATCGAATTAATAAAACAAACATAATTAGCCTTAAGAATGGTTATTTGCTATCCTCTGCCTTAACTAAAAACCTTGCGAAGCTCCCCAGAATTTTTTCTTATTAGGCGGCCAACGTCTTTAAAAATGTTTTTAGCCAAATCACCATATGTAGTTAAGGTGGAACAAATGATGGGTATGAATATGTAATTTGAGGAATAAGCACTATTTGCCGATCTTAAAATTTTGAGCTCTGCTCAGAGCGTCCTTGTTAAAATTAGAGGGGGAGTTAGTGTCCAGATAAGAGAAATCTATATTAAATACGTGTGACCCCATCAGGACGTCTACTATTGAAAAATAAACTCCATTAAGGTGATTTAATTGCATTTCAAGTGTCGAGTTTGCCGACCGGGATTACGATTGCAATGTAAAGGATGCAGTGCCATATTGTTATCATCCGTTAGACATTTGCTGCATTTATATGGTAACGAAAAGGGAATGTTGAGCCTGATACATAAAGCATAGCTGAGCTCATGGTTGTCCAATTCGAGTTTGAGATTGGTAGATGGAATAACATTTAAAAATTCATATACCCGATCTTTGATAAGTTCAATAAATGTGGATCTAGCCAATGGTGAGAGACTCGAAATAAGGTAATCAACGGAGTTTTTCACAAGTGGTAAATCCCAATCATTCTGCTTTACAGAGATCGGAAATAGAGTTGAGGTTGTAACGGATTTTGCCCATTCTATCTTAGCTGTATTCAAAAAAGGACCGTGAATCGATAGATATTGGTCAATTAATATAAGTGCCTGAATGTGGCTGGCAAGGCACATATTGAGATCGACAATGGAGATTCTATACCAAGGCCGCCATGTTTGGAAGGAAGTGTGGCTTGATGCCAAGCTTTGTCTGTAAATTTGATATTTAAGCAGTCGCTAGGGATGACTTTTATTCTGGTTTCGAATCTCACTAAATGCTCCCTCTCTAAAAATAATGGGTTAGATCGAAGGGCATAAAGGATTTTAGGGATGTTGAATAAATTCCGAATTTAAAAAAAAGGCCTTGTGAGCCGAAATACAAGGAAGAATGCGTTTTAAATTTTCAAAGATATCACCCATATCGCTAAAAAAAATTCATTGACTCCTAACCAATGGGAGAGCCCAAATGTGATAGATTTTTCAAGGGGCATGCTTAAAACCAAAAATGTTTTGCGGAATTGTATTAATATCGCAGTATTCAGTTTTGATTTGATTAATTACGAGTCCGAGGCTGTCAGTAGAAGTCTTGATAATATTGATGGGCTTTATTACCTCTGCAGATTCGCCAGAGATGACCCCATTATCAATATATCATAAGTGTAAGGGTAGCGTGCAGTCATTGTTTATTTTAGTAATCAAATCATGGATACCAAGGAAAAATAATATGGAGCCTAGGGGATCACCTTGCTGAATACCCTCGGATTATGATATGATGGCCATACGAAATGTGATGGTTTCTTATAAGACGAGAGAATACAGTTTGTAAAAAGTGGGAAATTGTGGGAAATTGTGAGATTATTACTTGTCTATGAATGCTATTGTAAGCATTTGTAAAATATTTTTACAAGATATTGGGCCGTTGTAGTATTTTGAGCATGCGATATATCTGCAGCTGCTTCACAGCCTGAGCTCGTACCAACCCCAAACAGCAACGGAAGAAGTGTATTAGATGTGCAGAAATTCTGCTAGCTATTATCTTGAACATAATCTTCTATATAAAGCATCAACAGCAATGGCCTAATATCACCATTCTTTTTTCTAAGGGCGACAAGATTGGCTCCAAAAAAAGGGCCCTTGCAAAATCTGGGACCTCACCATAAATGACCTTGTTGCATAATTGAGTTATTTTATCCAATAAAGAGGTTTGACTGTTGAGGATGGGAGTAGTTAAATCTTAAAGATATAAAGGTTTGATACCTTCAAATCCTGAACTAGTTTATCAATTTTATATGGGATGTGAATATTTGTAAAATCATCGTTGGTAAGATTTAGATTTTATAAAATTTGATTTTTGGTAAACTCATTATTACGCATTGCGTTTTATGAGTTATTTTTTATTTTATAATTTAGATTTATAAAATTTGATTATGGTAAAGTCATTACATTATGCATTGCAAAGTAATTTTTATTTTACATAAATTTTTTTTTAGTTTATGTTATATAACTTTATATTTTAATATACTTTTTTATTTTAGAAGTTTTAAGGCCATTTTTTAGTAAAGATGTTGTAAATTGGATAACGTGATTTTATATGTCATACAATTTTAGATAATGGATTTATGCTGTGTATATAAAAAAATAAATAATATAATATTTTTTATCAGCTTTTGTAAATAAAGAATCGTTTTAAAATCTTACATTTAAATTAAATTCTTTATATTGAGATATATCCCGATAAATTCCTATCAATTCTACCCCACTTGTCAACAGTTTATAATAATGATTCTCAGGCTGATTATGATTTTTATAAATTTTTTTTTAAAAAAATATATTTTTAGATTATGATAGTTCGAATTATTTTAATAGCTTCCCTAATAAAAGGGAAGCTAAATATAATATAATTCATTCGTTTTTGTAATAATTTTATGTTAATAATAGAATGAAAAATTTGTAAATATTTCTAAACTAATTCTGGAAATAATATTCAGGATAGAAACGGAACCACGTAATATTATTAAAATAAGAAATATTTTATTTTGAATAATTACTGTGAATATCAATTTTCGATTATTCCAATAAATTATCGTCATTTAATATATTAACAATTTTTCACATCGTTTGTATTTTTAATTTAACTAATAAAATGTATATTTTTAGCATATGATTTCATTAATAATTATTTATATAAAAAGGTAGAGTTTGTTAAAAAAAATAAATTCACCACCATATAACCAATATTAATTAAGAAATGTTTAAAAATATTATAAACTTTAGAAAAATATTTAAAATTGGAAATGAATAAATGTAAAAAAAAAATTTTTTATTTATAATTTAGACAAATTAGGGAGAAAAAGTGAAAAAAGTTATAATTTCGCCAATATTTAATCGTCTAAATAAATTTTGTTCCATTAATAAATGATTAAATTATTAAGAAATGGATATTTCATATAACTATGAAGTTTTGTTTTAATTAGATAATCCTAATTTAGTATAATAACTAGTTCTGTATACATTTCTAAAAATTCATTGAAAAATACCGAACGACCTTTAAAAAAGGGAATGCTCACGATCAAATTTCGTATCAAAAATAATAAGAACGCCATGCATCATTTTTTTTAAGCCAACTTTCGTTTTTACATCATTATTAATAACTAGTTAAAATGAATATTTCGAGGTTTATATAAAAATCTTAGAATATTAACAAAAAATTTGGACTCAAAATTGATTAAAAATCCTTGAAATCTCAAAAACCACTTTATCCAAAGTGAATTAAATTTTGTGTTGAGTTACTGAAATATCCATGTTTTTAAATACAATAAGATTTGTATGAACAAAAATTTCTCAAGATATGAATAATGATATAATTTCAATATAAATAGGAATTTTGGTAATGAAATCGTTTTAATTTGTTATTCACGGTGGATAAGAATCGAATAATTTATTATAAAAATGGCATATTTTTATTCATATATCACTGATAAAATTTCACACTTTAAAAAAAATCATTTAAATTATTCTAATTTAAATAAATCGTTAAGAAAATCATTCAAATCATAAATATCTAAATATAAAAAAAGCGATTATTTAAAACACAGCCTTATTTCTTATATGGATATTCTCAAGGGTTAAGAATATCTTATGTTAAATATACTTAATAAATAATAAAATATATAATTATATAACGAAAGAATATTATAGACCTTAATAAAGATTTTAATTACATTTTTTGTCATAACTTTTCTACAAATAAAAATAGAATTAAAATTAACAATATAATAAAAAGATTAAATGGATAATAAAATAAATTGTGTATATCTATCTAATAAGCAATTTATAAATATTAGATTTCCACTTTTAAATATTTTAAAATAAAATAAATAATCATATGATAGATGGCGTTAAATATTATACCTATAAAATTTCCAATTTCACAAAACTTAGATTCTCCAGAATTTGTCAATATTGGGTAAATCGAATTAAGAAATTCCCAATATAAGTAGGACAAACGTCCAATAATCAGATAATTTATTAATAAAAAAAATATATGACTATGATTAATAACTTAATTATATGTTATAATAATATTTTTATTAGTTTAAATAAAAGTATCCTGGTCACGGCACCACTTTTATAATAAATATTGTCGAACAAACTTACTAATAAATTCGATGTAATTTTTAGTTTTTCTCATTATAATTATTTTCATCTTTCAGCTAAATATTTCAATTTCATGATTAGAAAATTTCAGAGTTGTAAAATAGATCTAGATACAGATACATCGTCTAAAATAATATCTAGATACAGATATTTTAATCAAAAATCTATCTAGATATAGATAAGATACCACATATTTATATCTAGATTGTATCTAGATCCTTTAACAACTCTGGAAAATATTATCTATTTTTGATTATTAAAATAAATTATTATCTTTAAATATTACTAATTATTTACATTAGAGATCTGCAAAAGTAGGGCCGGGTCGGGCCTTAGAAATTTTTTAAAATATATATCTAAATTTATCAATTTTATGTTGAATTTTTTTATGTAAATAAAAATATGTGATTTTATTTATAGAAAGTAGATGCCACATAACATATATCGTTTATTTTGCGTAATTATAAAAATTAATTTTTATATTTAAATAAATTCGGGCCGGGCCAAACTTTATAAAATTATTTCTGGGATGGCCGGATTTTAAAAATTAGGCCCGATGCAGATCACTAATTCACATTATAAAAACTTATATCTAATATAATCCATGAAACAAAAATATTAATTTTAATTTAAGTACATTTCATTAAAAAAGTACTTGTTAAATATATATAAGTAACGTAAAATTTATCCTTTAAAGCCATATATTATACTTTCATATTTTGGTTAAAGTTTATGTCTTTCATATTTAGCTATAATTAATTCAAAATCAGTTGATAATTTATATTATCATTTGAGTATTTTAGTAATGAATTTCAAAATCAGCTGATAATTGTGAAATTATCATTTCGGGAATATAGTTCAGTGATATTTGTAAACATTTAAATTTATGCCTTTTGTATATAGCTATAAATTCAAAATCATCTGATAATTAATATTATCATTTTAGGATTATAGTACAATGTGATAATTGATGACCTTTAACTACAAATGATATTTAGAGTTTAACATAATTTGAGATCAAAATTTTAGTTATCGAATATTATCCCTTGCAAAAACATATGGCTTCTAATGATGTTTAATCTCCCCTCTTGTGGCAATTCATCATTCCTAACTTAAATAAGAATAAACTATCATGCGATTTTAATTCATATGTCAATGATTCCACACCTTAAAAATTCGTATATAAATCATATAAGCCTAATATAAATGTATTCGATTACAATACAGTTATATAGATAATTTGTAATCAATAATTATTTTGACAATTTTATCTCAATTACATTTCGACCTAGATCTTTTTATTTAGAAAATATAATTTAGTTTAAATTCAAAATCTTATGTTTTTAAATAAACTTAATAATTTTTAAAAAAATGTATAATTATGTAAAGAAAGAACAATATATTTATAAATCAATAAATAAAAAAAATAGATATAAACTATTCAAATATAATGTTATACAAAAAAAGAGTCATATATAATAGATGGAGCTAAATATTGTATAGATTATTATTACAATGTAACATTATATATATTCTTCAGAATTTGATAATATTAGGCAAACTTAATTAAGAACCAAAATAATATAAGTATGATAAACGTCCAATAATTATAATATAAAGAGAATTTTACATAATTTAATAACAAATAAAAATTGACTATGAATAGTAAAAAATTTATATGTTATAATTTAATTCACTAAAGTAACAAATGTATGATTTTCCTCTTCAAGGTCGCTTAAAATCATTTATTAGTAAATAAAGAATGAATGAATTAAGTATTTTTCTAAAATTACTTAAACCAAAGATTATTCTAAAAAAATTAATACCATTTGTTTAAAATTTAAATAATATATTAAAAAAATATATCATGTGATTTTTTCCTTAGCCTGATTAATAAAAAGGTATAAAAACCAAAATTAATAAAACACAAGATTTCAAATTATATGAGTAATGTTTGAAATTTTTAAAATATTTGTTTACTATATTTTAAAATATATATATATTCCAAATATGCAACTTTATTTATGACAATTATATTGAGTATGTTAGATTTGTTGGTAAATATGAGAAAATTTAAACAATGAGTTATATTAATTTCGAATCAATATAATTTGAGAAAATGATTAGTATAAATAATAAAGATAAATGAAAATAAAACATATTTAAATTTATGTATTACCAAATTTCCATTGATTTATTATTTTTCATTGGTTGTTGTATTTTGTTGGGTCTAATAGAACTCTAGATCTTTGAGTTTAATTGCTAATAAAGAAATACTTATTATATATTAATATTATATTATAAATTCTACTCCTTCACTACTCATACATTACATTAAAGCATTTATTATAAATAATAAAAAGTTAAAACTTTCAATGACATTTGTAAATACTAAAATTTATAATTTAATGCGAAGAATTACATTTTCATTGTAAAATAATATATATAATAATAAAATACTTGAAAGAAGATCACTATATATGTAAATAAGCTTGTTGATAAATTTGATTTGAATTTGAACATATAAATTTTAAAAGAAAAAGCTAGCAAAAGTAAAAATAGGTTCACTCTGATGTTGTTTATAAAATGCGAAAGATTTTTTGTTTTCAAACTCTAATCTTTTTTTAAAAAAAAACTAAATTAAATTAAATATATATATTTTTTAAAATTATAAATTTGCAAATTTATATTAATAAAAAACAATTTTAAAAATTAAAATTTCAGTGATTTATGGAAATTTGTGTTCACGCCCACTCACGCAGGGGAAAATTTTGGAAAGGCCCGTCACGCCTAATAATTTAAAATTTCTTCAAATTCAGGTCACGGTGGGTCACTGCGGAACTCTGTATATATCATGATACAGAGTTTCTTAAAATCATATTCCGAAATTCAGGTGTACTTGCTTAGCAAGCAAGAATTAAATCGACTAGCCACTCTTGATATTACCATCTTACGGCAGTTAGAATTTTTTTTATCAATATTTAAAAAATGCTCGGAAAATCTGAGTGCCGGTGGAGACAAAAATTATTACAGTTTTTCAACCCTATGAAGGGTATACAACAATAATAGAATCCTTAAAAATCAGGACTGGATGTCTTTTAAAAGAAAGATTCATCATGCAGCCCCTACATAAAGTAGGCTTAATTTTGGCAATTTCAAAAGCCTTAAGTTTTTATCAGAAGAAGAAAAAAACGATATATATAAAACTAGCATAAAAAATGCTAAATGTCATAAAATATGATATAAACAAGTCAATGCCAAAGCCAACTATTAGCTGTCATAATTCGTCCTACACTCACAAGAAACTTAATATTCTAAATGAAACATTTAGAGAATTTCTAGATGATA